CTTTCCCTCTTTCTTATTCAGTTGCTCAAATTAAACTTCTCTATAGCTACATAAATTGCTGACCATGTAACTATAGATATGGCGGAGGCTGGGGAGAGTATCTTTAATCCATATTCAGAATGAAAACAGGAAAGAAACTGGCAGAACTTAACCACATGCTTTTTTTTTCCTGTGTAATTACCATTTTGGCTTGCACTGTTTCCACGGTGTCCACCTCATCTTCAGACAGTGGTCACTGCAAGGTGCCACAAGGAGGAAGAGATGGACTTAATCCTGTGGCTGAATTGGCTGTTCTGAGAGTTCACTCTTGGCAAGCTGATGCTTTTAATCTTGGATGTATCTTTCTATGAGAAACCTGTGGAATGATGTCCAAGGAACTCTTGCTGCTGCAGCTGCTTTGTATGCAGTCAGCCATAAGATCTGGGTCCAAGAGAGAAGCATGGATGGATGCATTTCCATCATCCTTTGGTTGATGGGAAGACTTGAATGTTCTTTGTCTAGTATCAAGGCGTAGCTGAAACAAATGCTTGGCTATGAGCTGGCACCATGACTTCTTATTGCTGTACAAAATTTCGGGAGCCTATTCAGTAGTGTGACTCTTGCCCTGTGAAGCCTCAGGACCCTTGGCTGTACCCACTCAGTGGCTAACCATTGTCACTGGGCCAGCAGGGTAGATGTTTGTGGACATTTCAATGAGCAATTTTGCGGATGATTTGCAATGTCTTCTGTAACCTTCTTTGCAAACAAGAAGAGGATCAGCCATTTCCAAGTTCCTGTCTGTCTGGTGGGAGGTGGTACTTACTGCTTCATCAGGAGGCTCTGCTTTGTCCACCACAGAGCCTATATGCACTGTAACGGTGCCGTCACCCACACACAAAGTGACATGTGCATTTGGTCATCTCCCTGTGAAATGGTGGGCACTGCTAAGCAAACTTAATGCCAATGTTCCTGGCACCTTATGAACTGTAGGTGCCTGCCTTGCCCTGCACAGCCCCTTTGAGAGCACAGATGAGTCTTACCATCTGGTCTAGAACAGCTGAAGACACGTTTCTTCAGCAGTTGAATGCTCAGTGGTTCTATGCCTAGTCCTCTGGAAGCACTTGGGCCACCCAAGACTAGACTTTTGTCCAGGATGCTGTCTGACACTTACCTAAAAGGGAACATGCTTAGTTTCCAGGGTTAGACTGAGGGAGACGTGGCAAACGTGGCCTCTGTAGTCTTCAGGAATCTTTACAGGCTAAGGCCTGAGTGGATTCCTAAGAAGAATGAAACCAATAGGCCTTTCTCATCCGTTGGCATAAGTCAGCCTATAACCCACTGTGTTTGAGGAAGGGAACGTGGCATATTGTACAGTATTGTTCCTTATACGAGGTTTATTAAGGCTCTGAGGCTAACTGGGCTTAACAGAACTTTTCTACTACAACTCAGGCATCAGAGGAATTGCCTCCTGGTCAGAGCAGTGATCATCATTGCCTTTCCATAGGTCTGAGTTCAATGCCTCGATTCTATCAGAAGCCATTTCTCCTGCCCCATGTTTTCCCAAGACATGCTTTCGGAAACGTGAATGTGAAGCATTGGCACAGAGGTTACACACTATGACTGCAAGTGGCCAAAGAAATGTCCCTGGATATGTTCATGGTTCCTAGCCCACATCTTCAAGATGATGGCTTTCATCTTCTTGAATTTATTGTGGCACTGGTAGGTGGTCCTGTCATACCCAGTGAAAGTTACAAGGTTAAACAGTCTCTCGATATTGCCACTGGATTACTGTGCCACTGAAGAACACAGCTTCAGTGCTCCAAGTTGTCCATTGCTGGATCCAGAAGAAACAAGGAGTCCAACAAGGTAGGACAGCAACAGAAGATACAACACGTAAGAAGAGAAGGATATTAAAACAGAAGTCTTGATGGAAGACAAAGGAGCAGCAGACAGTTGAAAGAATACGTAGAGGGCTGGCAGTCATTGGCAAATAGGAAGGTGCACGCAGAACTTGGCCCTTCTTGTAATGCAAGAACCTAAGTGGTGTGGTGGGAGCTCAATATGCTTTTAGAGCTTTCTATCAATGTGTGTGTGTTTTGTGTGCACTGTAGGACCTTGTGGAGCTGCATCCAACTTACTGGGGGCATAGCAATTCAAATCAGGAGCTGTTGCATTTAGAGCTTCTAGCTAAGTTTTTTTCTCCATAGATAATTTAGTTTTCTAACACGAGAACTGCTCTGCAAACTGGACCATGGCAAAGTAAGTATGGCTATTCAGTTCTGTGATCCAAAACATGAATGTAGATCTTCTCCTCCGGAAGAAAAGAACCTTTCTTCTTTTTGCACTGAAGAACCTATTCTGTGAACCTGGTTACTAACCGTTGTAAGACAGTCTCTTCACTGATCATTTAATATGCTTTGACTTGACAGAGATTCCAAAGTTAGTTAACAGGTCCTTTTTGCTGAAACAGAGGCTTACATAAGAAATTTAGCAAGGTTATATTACACAGGGCTAAATAAGATGGTATGGACTATGTAAGGTTTTATAAGATGCCGAGTTACTACATTTTGTTAACATGTGAGGGGATCTGCTACACTTTGTTAGTTATTGTAAGAGATTCTTGCTGATTTGATCCCAGTTTTGCCCCAACAGGACTGATTTGACAAAGGATGGGAAGTTACTGGGATCAGAATTTTATTTTAGCCCCACCAAGTACGATGTATAACAAGAAGAAGGAAGAATCAGAGAAATGCAGACTTGCATTTTACCCACAGCAACGAAGCAGGTGTTCTGGTGCCTACCTGGTCATAATATAAAATGCACTGTGGCTTCATGTCTCACTTCTTTTGGTTTTCTTAAGATGCTCAAATGCTCCCATGTAAGTAGTACTTAATCTTTTCTTTCTTTCTGCACAGCAATTTGTTTACCCAATCAGTTCCAATGTGCAAGCAGCCAGTGCATCCTCCTGAAGCAACAGTGTGACTCCTTTCCAGATTGCATCGATGGTTCTGATGAGCTCATGTGTGGTGAGATGTTGTTCCTTGAGATTCAAGTGCTGTGTTCAGACATAATGTCCTACATCCCTACGCAGATCCTCAGTCTTTGCATAGTAATATTATTTCAGGGAAGCCCAGGGAATCTTGGCCAAATACAGTTGTATTTGGCTGCTAAATATAGTCATGCTTTTCCATTGGTCTGTGTGGCAAAAGAGTGCAAACTTGCAGCATGATGTAGCAAGTTTGTGATGCTGTTATCCCATGTAATGCAGAAACAGCAGTAGCGGAGATGAACTGAAGTCCCAATGTTACTTCAAGCTAGTTCTGAAATGCTGTACGGCGTAGAACGCTGCCTTGTTCAGATGGACATTCAGATTTATACCCAGAGGGACCTGATTCTACCGTGCTCAGTACCTTGGAGCTTGCAGAGCTGCTGCTAAGCTTGGGGTGGCTTTGAAAAATGTGTAGCCCTACCCACTGCAATTACAGGATCAAGCTAGGAGCTAATTATGTGGAGGAACTAGCATGCAATGAGCAAGTGTCCACAAGAGATCACAAGCTGGTCTCTTAAAGTTCAGGTAGGAAGAAAATATAAGGAGAGACCTTGATTTTTCTGGACAAAATGTTACTTTGAATTCTTATGGCAGTAGGTATATGCAAGTTACAGGCACACTGACAGCAGTTGCTGTATTAGTCTTTAGGAAGGGTCTGTTATTTTGCAGTTCAAAGTGGACAGTAAAACTCATTTATGAATGCTCTACTTGCAATTTTCCTCTTTTTTGCACCACTGAGGTGACTAGCACATAAAGTTTTCAGGCAGTGTAGCAGATAAAGGGAGCATTTAGCTCACGAGTGGTTTAGCAAAATAGTTGGAACATAGCATTTTAGAGCCAAAGCAAACAGATGTGCTGATCTGTTGGTAATTCATTCCGAACAAATCCTTGTGTTGGGTTTGCTTAACGATGTTGCCTATAGGACCTTGGCTGATTGCAAGCTTTTTAATATCCTAGAATCTTGTCAGGTTTTGAAGCACCAGTTGTCAGAAGCTGTGCCACTGCTGGGATGAGAGGCGGGATCACCAGATCTGGTCAGGGGAACCTTGTTTATTCCTCCCATCCTCACAGTGGGTACAGAAGGAAAAAGTGTATTTCATGAGCAGGAGTGGTAACATGAGTCCAAGGAGTGAGTAGAAGAAAAGGCTAAAAGAATGACAACAAAAACTGTTTAGCTCTCCTGTTGGAAATTTCAGAATGAACATGCTTCTCATGCTTCTCCCACGTCTTCCATTTGTCTTTCAGCTCTCATCCAGTTCCCTCAATTCCCTGGATAACATAAAGCCACTTCTTTTTTTTTTAGTTTATTTTCTTTGTGCACTTGGCAAACTTTTGTGCTGCCAAGTTAACGCAGCTGTTTCCTGTTTGCAATTTGAGTCCAGTCCTGCAATTAGGTCCTAACTGATTTAAATGTGTCTTTATGTAGACTTATGTGTCTCCTCTGGAGTCTTTTTGTGGAACAGAGCATCCTGTGGTTTCTTGTTTGTTTGAGGGAAAGAACTCAAGTAGGGAATAAAATGATTGCTACTTTTCTAGATAAGGATCTTGCATTCAAAAGAGCCTAGGTTTCACCAAAATGAGAATTGTGTGTTTTAAATTAGCTAATTTGGGAACTTGTTTTTGTTTTGGCTTTGCTTTTTTGTGATAGCATATCTGAACTAATCTGACTGTTTGGAAGTTAGGGCCTTAGCAAGTGGGAAAAGTAGGTAAAGACTTCAAGATAGAAATGAATTCTTGATGCTGAGCTGTTAAGAGTTTATTGGTAGATCTTTTTATTTCCTTTATCTTCCTTCTCAAATTTCAGTTGGTTTTCATTTGCTTCCACTGAAGGGAATAAAACCAAAACCACTGCAGAAAAATTATACGAGGTGAAGGCTTAAATCTTACATGAACCTTTTCATTTCTCACAACTTCATTAAGGGGCGAAGGGGTCTATAGTTTGATCAGAGCATGTAAAATTGATAGGCTTTGGCCAAGTTTATTTTGATTTTTTAACTATGAATATATGTTTTTTGTATGTAAAAAAAAATACAAATGTGCGGATCACATGGAAAAAATTGTTTTCACTGAAGAATGTCACATATGCAAAAAATATAGAGGTGTCATAGAACATAGAGGTTATTTATTTGGCAAGAATTTTGAATGTGTTACCCATAATCAGGGGGAGATATGATACAAAGCTCTTGACATACTGCAGCACTTTTTATTATTTAACATTGGGCTACATAGAGCAAAAAGAATTAAGAAGTAGGAAGTATTTGAGATATTCCGGATTGTGTTTTCCTTCCAATTTGTAGGGTTTTTTTTAGAAAGCAAGCCATATTTTAGGAAGGAAAAGTACTCTATTTTAAGGCTTATATTACCTAGGAAGACATCCACTGCTTAATACATATAGTAGCTTCCTGACTGGTAAAATCTTTTAATTTTTTATTGTTATTGCTGCCCAAATCGCTTTTGAGAGAGCAGATTCCTCTGATTAACAAATTCGTGTTTATAAGAGTCCTATATCCTGATCCATAGACTTTGTGGGGGGAAGAAAAGGAAACTTTCTAGGCTGTTATGTCAAGATGATAAGTAATCCTGTTCTGAGATGAATTCCAGACAGAAAGTTGCTAATACTGCTTTAGGTACATGGAGGGAAAGAGGAGGCATGAAGTCTTGTGCATTGAATCAGAATATATGAAGTTATAGATGCCTGTGCTCAGTGCAGATACTTTCAGAGACACTGTGTGAATGACTGTGAACTGACTGATATGCTGCATGAGCTCCAGGACAGCAACATATATATTGCCCCATGTTTAATGACCTCCTTTTTTTTTTCTCCTCTACAGAAAAAACAAAGCCAGCTTCAGATGAGTCACAGCCACACAGCAGTGCCATCGGTCCTGTCATTGGTATAATACTGTCACTTTTTGTCATGGGAGGAATGTACTTTGTTTGCCAGCGAGTGGTGTGTCAGCGCTATGCCGGGCCCAATAGTCCTTTTCCACATGAGTATGTCAGTGGCACTCCTCACGTCCCTCTTAATTTTATCGCTCCAGGCAGTTCTCAACATGGCACTTTTACTGGTAAGGATGGTAAGGACCTTGCATCTAATCAGTACCCTTACATTGTCTGGATTTGGAGTTTTACACGTTATTAACAGTGCTGGATGGGGAGTTTTCAAAGAGCAGAAATTAGATGTTGTTGATCTGTTCAGTGGTTCTGGTATAAACCTGTCATTTGGATCAGATACACAAAAACTATTAGATGCATTTCTTTAGGCGTCTTGCCAGATTTTCAAATGCAGTTTTCATGCTAGGCTGCATGTGCACAGGTATTTGTCTTTTTGATAGAAAACCTACAATATTTTGATAGTGAAAACATCCTTTTTAAATAGTTAATTCTGGTGTGTGTAATAAAGGCTGGATTTTGCATGGTACTTCTTCCCTAAGGCCTGCAAAACACTATGAAGAGTAGAGAACCACATGCAATTTTGGAAACTGAGAATGCATGTGCCATTCGGCGTTCTAGTGAGAGCTCTGTTGAGTTGTTCTTTGTGTCTTGTGCTCAGATGTCCTTGTTTCTGTCCTGTCCATCAAAGGTCTTTACACAGTGTTGTCCTGTCTGCTTAGGATGGGTAAGTTACTCTACAGTGGAAAGAAGCAGAGGAAAGAAGTGAAGCAGCTTAGTTTACTGTAATACAAAAAAGCAGGGAATAAATCTCCCTCCCCAAAGTTACAACAGCAAACGTGGAAGAACACAAGCTGTTTGGATGTGGTTTTGTAGTCTGGCTACTCATTGCCTGAAGTGTAATGAAAACATCCCCTTTGGTTTAGCCCATCTCTGAGGCAGCTTTCCTGTTTGCTTTTGGACAAAGTATTTATTTCTTTCTGTCTCAGTCCTTCATCTGTAAAACAGCAAAGCTTCTCTACCTCGTGAAGGACTCAAAGCATCTGTTCAGAGAAGTGTGTGCACCTACAACGCTGAGGTTGAAGGAGGACCTGAAGTACACATAAAAGCTCAGGATGTTCAGATAAGAACCCAGAAACCTCATATAGACATCAAAGTAAACACTTAAATGATGTACCTCCAATTATTTTACAAATGTAAAGCCTACATTTCATAGAGAAAATGGCAAATTCTTAACTACAACGCCCTGAGAAGAAAGAATATCTCTTCATATTGTTCAGGAAGCTAGAAAGTAAATGTTCACCTGTAAACCTGCCAGACAGGGTCAGAATACAAGAAATCCGTAGTTCAGTGTGCTTGGAGTCTGCTTTTCACATCAGCTGAAAATCAGATGCATAATAACCTTAAAGACAAATGAAAAGATGTGGCATTTCTTCATATTAAACAAGTATTTGAGATGTGCTTATTGTTGCTTTCTTCTAGCCATGGCTTTGAAGATAGCCAGGTACAACTTCGGTTTTAGCCCTTCTTGCACTTTAATGGCTGTGGTCAGCTGTTGCTGCTTAAGTTATGTTTTTATGGTTATTAAGAAGTAAATGTAGTAGGAAACAAAATTCGAGGATGAAATCACTGCAAGTGAAATCTTTGCAGTAGTGTTTTACACTGGACTTCACACTGAAGCTTTTTTGATTAAAGCAATTATCAGTGGTTTTCATCTGTGCCTCGGTAGGTGCTAAACTAAGCTGTCATTCTGATTCTCATTCGTATTTGTTAGTTTTTTCTAATCCCTATTGCTGTGCCAAGTTACAACAGCCGAAAACATTACCATTGATGTTAATTCTAAAGAAGAGACATAGGTTCCTGATACCATGGCATTTCCAAAAAAGATCAATAGTCATGAACGATGACCATAATAGAGTCACTCTGCTGTAATAAATATTTCCTGCATCTGAAAAATTTCTGAAAACTTCCCAAACTGAGCTCTTCCATTAGCACTGAATAGTCTGTCAGGAAGAAGCTGAAAATATATTGCCTGATTTAAGTGTAGATTGGAGTAAAAACAGATTGGAGAATGTTGTCTTTCCTTTCCTGTCAGTCTGGTTTCCTTCCTTTTGCCTCTGCTGACTTTCAGCTTAAGCAGTGATTTTTTTCAATAAAAATAATTATTTTTTGCTGTTGTTCATGTACTTGCAATTGAATTTCTTTGGATGGAAATGAATACTTTGGAGGTCTCTAGCTTGTTTTTCTTGGGCAATGTATAATGCTTTTTTTTTGCAAATGCCTGAGTTTGTTTAATTGGAAAATTTCTTATTTAACAATTTGGATGAAAAGTTTGGATCAACTCTTCTGGAGATTTCTTTCTTAGCAGAGTGTGAGAGCAGGTTGTGAGGAGTTCAGTGCTGCAGTGAGACAATAGGTGGTCCGGCGGTGAGATGTTTTCTTTACAAAATACGTTGTTCCTTGTAATCCTGAAGTTATTACATAAAACATTGTTTCCAAAGTGACAACCAGTAGCTTTGCATGGGTTTACCAAGCTGTGGATTTGTTTTCTGTTTTGCATTGGTAGGTAAAATTGTGGTTTACCTGGCCTTATTTTCCTCTCTGTCTCACTGCAGGCATCTCTTGTGGAAAGTCCATGATTAGCTCCATGAGTCTCATGGGAGGAAGCAGTGGTGCCCCCTTATATGACAGAAACCATGTTACTGGAGCCTCTTCGAGTAGCTCATCCAGCACTAAAGCCACTTTCTACCCACAGGTATGTCTTGAAAATATACCTATGAGTTAGGTATCTCTCACTTCTGAAGAAAAGGAAGATGAAAACGTGTGGTACTAAACAGAATGTTAATAACGGTTGTTCTTGGGTGTAACTGTTTATGATATACAGGCCCAGTCCAACACCCACTGAACTTCACAAAAGGGCATTGTTGTAGTCCATCAGGATTACACAATGCTATATGGTGTCTAAAATGTTTTGTTATTAGAGTAGCACTTATCTGGGTTGTTCCTGGGCACTTCTGTTGGAGATGCCCTCTCCTTAGTTCTTTGTAAACTCTGATGCCAGTAGCCAAATGATGTTTTGCACTGCCTAAAGTTGCAGGCACACATGGAATAAAAAGAATAATAAGAAATTAAGCTTGGCTTGCTGTTTAGATTAATTGTCGATTGTTGATTCAGAAAATGAAGTGCGTGCACTGGGAGAAAACAGTGGTACCAGCAGAAGTTCCTTTTCTTTTTTCAGGTGTAATTTAGCTCCATTTGTGGCTTTTAACTGTTGGAAGTGACATAATTTTCATCCCCATATCAGAGTTCCACGAATTCAGAGATGTATAGTATGAATGGAAATTATTCTCTAAGAATACGCAGGAGAGACATACGAAGGTTACTGTTTGCCAGCATTTTGTCATATGACAGGTTTTTTCCTTAGAGCTTCTGAGCAATACACACACTCACTCTTCTCTTCACACAAGCTTGCAGAGTCAATCTGCTAGCTATTGAAGTGATATTCCAGTAGTATTTAATCAGGAGTACTTTAATCACGTATGTGTGGGTATATGCGCATTTGTGTTTACATGTAAACTGTTACGCTAGGAATGGCTATTTTAATTGATAGTGTTTTGACCAGGGGTAAATGTGCTATCTCTCCCCTTTAAGAAGGACACAGATGGAAAAGAGAGGTTTGGGAGCTTAGCTATTCATAAGGGAAAATTCGTTACTTATTTCTCACATTACCTTCTCAATGAAGCCATCAAGAAGTTAGTCACAGCTAGCAGATTTTTGGAACTCAGCAGCCCTCCTCATTTAGCTTGTCTCATGCTTCACCAGCGTCTCTGTAACATGCTGAACAATTTCATGCTAGTACCAGATTGGCGTGTCAGTGCCACACTAAAAAGGATGGACAGAAAAAACTTAATTGAGTTTATATTAAAAAACTCTTACTTAGATAAATTGTGAAAGAGGAAAGAAGCCCAAGAGCTGATCTGCATGTGCCGTTCTATGGGATCTTTGTTGGCCAAAAGATCAACTCTTCCATTGGACTTGTGGCCTAAGCTAATCTGTTACTGGGAATTCTTCTTCCACACTTTCCACTCCGGGCTATGTGAGCCAGGGCCTGCAGGGATGATTATCAGCCTTTCCTTCAGGAAAGACACGCTGGATTCTTAGAAGGAAGCTGTTGCAAGGGCTTTGTTACTTGTAGGTTACTGCTTAATGCAATTATTTTGGTCTGTTCTACCTTGTAGCTAATTACCTAGCTTTCTTTAGGTTAATAATAAAAAGGAGAGATCTGAGCATCTAGTTGTCTTGGCTTTTTTGTTTTGTTTTGTTTAACTCATCTTAGTGATACTGAGAGATGGTCCAGTGAATAGAGACTAGGAAAAAATTGATGTCAATAGAGTTAATGCCAGTTTATCTACCTGAGAACCTGGACACAGGCATCTTGGCTGACACTCTTTTGCTGCATTTAATCTGATCATGGTGTTGATGCAGCTCAGGGTGCTAGTAGGAGAGAATCCAGAAGTACAGTGCCTTCTTCGAGGAAGAGGATTTGTGGAAGACACTCTTGAGGCAATTACTCATCGTTCCTCACAGCTAACAATGGGTGGTATTGAAGCTTGTCTCCCCTCACATGAATCTAGATGCAGAGCTCGTCAGTATTAGTAACTATGAGCTCAACTCAATGGCCAGGAATCATTTTGCCAGACATTGCACAGTGAAGACCAAAACAGTGATCTCCACTCCAGTGATTTTATAACATTGTAAGTTACAAGAGAAGAGCAGAGGCAAAGGAAGGGTGCTGTCGTGCTCACTCTGGCAGACCATGGCTTGGCGGAATGCCCAGGACGAGCCGTATGCAAGATGCTCACATCAGTAGCAAGGCCCTACCATCAACAGCAATGCTGTAATTTTCCACATTGGAAGGGATGAAGCGCCCTCCTCGTTTTTAGGCCAGTGTCCTGCTGGTGGTGTCAGGGGTTCTGCTTCCTGCTAGCAGAAGAATCCTAAAGGATTCTGAAGCGTAATAAACTGTTTTCCTACTGTGTGGGTTACCAGCAACCGTTTGTATGCATACACAGGCTAGGACAGGCTACAACTATTTTTCAGCTCTTAGGCTGTTTGCATTGTGAACTGTGCCAAAAGGGTATGTTTACAGAACAGCAGTAAAAAGGAAGTATTCAGGGAAGGATGCAGTTGTATAAGTTATGGTAAAGGAACTTGGCCTCCTGATCCTACTGTTGACTGGGGGTATGTTTAGGGGCTGGGAGTGGAACAGACTTTATTTCACATTAGCATCTGCTGAGGATATCAGTCCTTATGTCCAAGGAAGTGCACTGAGATTCAGCAAAACTGGGTCTAATTTCCAGCTTTGCCTCAGCCTTCCAGCATGATAGTGGATGTGGCAATGAAGAAAATTCCCTGTACTGTGAGAACTTTGAAGGCCTGCACTGTACCTAAGCCCAAGTTAAAGTCTCGTAATGAACTTCCGTGGTCTTTAAAAATGCATTAATCCACCCAAGCAGAGGAAACTAAAATAAAGATGAGTGATGGGGTGAAGGCATAAATAATATTTTCAGAATAAGTAGAGTTGCATAATTAATCTAAACTTTCACACTGGTTTTTCCTATTCTTCCTAGATCTTGAACCCACCTCCTTCTCCAGCTACTGATCGCTCCCTGTATAATGCAGAGATGTTTTATTCCTCAAACATTCCTTCAACCACAAGATCTTACAGGTACAGCTCTGGTAAAAAGGTTCAATAAATATTATATTGATCTGTCCTTCAGTTTTGGATTGTAAGCAAAATGTTCTGGTTCAGACTTTACCTTGTGTCAAAAAACCTTTCCCTTTCGTAATGACCATTCAGATGGAGGTTATGCTAGTTTTGATGTTAAACATTGGCTTTGTGTTCTTATTTTGACACAGCAGGGTTTAGCGCCTCTCAATACAGTGTTGCTGAGTAATAGTGCAATATGTACAGGTTATACTGCTATGAAACAGTCACTTAGCATCCCGTGTAGAGAAGCTTGATGTTTTCTGTTCAGTTCCTCAAGCTTCTCTTAAAACTCTTTGAGGACTCAACCTATTTGTTAGCAACTGGACTAAATGGTCATAGTGGTCTCCTCTGGCTGGCCAGGGTCTAGAGGAATGCACTGCTGGCTGAGGGTAGTTGTGCCATTCAGATTTGACGCAGCTCAGGTACTGCTTGTTGGGTTCCTATGAAAACCTGAGTTAAGGCTCACATTGTGTTAATGAGTAGGCATCTTGACTGAGGACACAGAGCTGTTAATTTTCAATCTCTTTCTTTCTTTGTCTTTTTTTTTTTTCCCAGATTGCAACTAACGCTTGTGCTTTCCTTTTCTTCTTTTTTCCCGCAGACCATACCTTATACGAGGGATAGCTCCACCCACAACCCCATGCAGCACAGATGTTTGCGACAGTGACTATACTACTAGTCGATGGAAGGCCAACAAATACTACATAGATTTAAATTCAGACTCAGACCCTTATCCCCCTCCACCCACACCTCGCAGTCAGTACATGTCGGCAGAAGAAAGTTGCCCTCCGTCTCCTGCCACGGAACGAAGCTATTTTCACCTCTATCCCCCTCCACCCTCTCCTTGTACAGACTCCTCATGACTTCAACAGAAGGAACTTTTCCTGTAAATATTTTAAAATATGAACAGATTTAAAGTATATATTTTATGATTTAAAAATAAATTGGGGTGGGAATTAAAAAAAAAGAAATGTGAATAAAAATGGGTGGGAAGGATGGGGCTGTGAAAAATTGTACAGTGGAAGAATATTTATAAAATTGATCTTTTTAACTTAATTTCCATTCTTTTGTGCCATATTTTCCTTTTGGAAGTCATGAAAATGACTAATTTTCCAAAGGATTTGGGGAGGGAACGTTGAGCCTTTTTGCATTTTTAAGTCACCTTTTTATATGCAAAGTGTATATAATTCCTTTTATTAATGTGAGACAAGAAAGCAAAGTGGCTTGTGGGAGGAGAAGTCTAAAGAAAGATGTAAATTTATTCACAGAGAAGAAAAACTCATTTAAATAAAATTGTCAGTATCTCATCCCTTCGCCACCGCTGGGAGAACACATGCAAAGATCACAACACTGAGATGCTCCTGTTTGCAAGTGAGCTGAATGCTTCCCAGCAGAACTTCTATGCTGAGACTTGGATTTCAAACCTCCCTCTCCATGTGCTTAGCATTGAACTGGAAGAACTCTTCTTTTGGCCAAACCTTCCAGCTTAACTGGGCCCACAGGCATCATACCCTACCGCATGTCAGTGCCACTCTGCACATGGCCAATTCTGGATCTGAGTCAAGCTGAAAAAGATACCCAGTTCTAAAAAACTTGGTTTAGCTCCAATCAGTTCCCCACTTGACTGGGTGAATGGTAGCAGAAGCAGTTGTACTGACCTGTGGGTGAGAGCAAGGGGCAAGTTTAAAGTGGTATTAAGCTAAGAGAAATGCTGACAAACTGCAGATTTGGTCAGACTCACCATTTTAATTGCGATGAAACCAAGCTCCTTCATCCATCCTTGTGGGACTTTGATGACTGTCTGGGAAGAGGCCGTAATAGTCAGCTGCTTCTCCAAATACAGTGCTAGTTCTCTTTCTCCTAAAAGTCCAGTAATTCACTGTGCCAGGTCTGTGATATGTTCACCTACATTGACTTGATCAGAGAACTGCTTCATGTCCAATGTTCATTTTCCAAAGTAGAATAATATGGTCACGGGTATTCGTTTAAATGAGGAAAGTTGTTTGGTTTTTAATTGATGTTTGTAGAAAATGGTGTCTACATAGCTCAAAACAAAAACATCTGCCATTCAAACATTTTACTCATATTTCATAAAAATTTGCTACAAAATTAGTTCATATTTAGAAATTGACAAAAAAAAAAGGGGGGGTGGGGGAAGAAGAGGACACAAATCTTTCTGATTGTGTTGATATAAAAAGATAAACTCTCATACAAACTGCTGTAACCTAAAGACACCATGATCAGCAAAGTGCTCATTCCTAAATCCTACCAAAAAAAAACCTTTGGGAATGGGAGGCTATAGTCAGTCCCTTTCAAAATACAGAATATAATTTTTTCCTTTGATTGCACTCTTGGTGTAACAAAAGGGATTGGGTGTTGTATGGCACTTTATAAATTCAGCTCTGATGATGATAATGTGCGTGCCTCCTTGGGACATCTGAGGGAGGTTCTGAATATGCAGACTCACACCTGTTTCTGCAGCTGATGAATAACAGATGTGTTGGGCCTTTGACAGCCTTAATATTGTTGGCAACAATGAAAATTTTTTTCTCGTTTGAACTTAAATTGTACTTGGGTATGGGTCTTTTTAGCAAGTTATTTGAGAGCACATCAGAGGAACCCTACAGCTCTGGGACAGAAGTCTTTGTTGTGGTGGTGGAGAGGCTGAGACCACAGTGTTCTGATCCAGTTTCTGTTTTCAGATTTATTAGTCCAGATCTGTTCTTCCTGTCTGCATTATTCAAAGACAGGATTTGGGCTGTCACTAGTGTGTTACTAAAACACTTCAAGTAGCTTTTGCTACCTTCATATCTAAATTTTCACTTGAGAGATTGAGCACAAAGAAGATGTCCACCATTTTTCATGGAGAAAAATACAGAATTGGAGAATACAGCACTGGAGTTTAAGAATGGGTTCTTTCCCCATCCCCGGTCAACATTATTCATTCTGTAGTATGCCAAGAGGGACGAGGTCGTAGTTTGTTAAGAGTAACTTGGCAGATCTCTGAACAAGTGTTAATGATTTGGTGAAACAAAGCAATTCTCATGTGGTCATGTTTCAGTGAACTAAATTAGGAATATAGATCCACAGGATGTTTTAAGTACCACATCAATCATGTAAAGGAGTACTTATTATGCATTACAGGAGTTGGTAGTCCAGTTCCGTATCATGTCATTTTGTGCATGATAACTGTTCACCATTTATAACAAATTAATTAGTTTAGTTGTTTCATGTTACAGTTCTAGCTTAGAGACATACTACATTAATTTTCTTGTATTCCTGTGATGACATTGGATGCAAAATTACATGATTTTTTTTTTTTATAGCCACAACTATAACAATCTTAACCACTTCATCTAAAGACTTGTATCCTATTACAAAGTTTGGAGTTTTGTCCAAGAAAACGGGCATTCTTGCTGAGAGCTAAACTGTCTTAAGAGTCAAATTTTTTGGAGCTTAGCTATTCAGAAGGAAGGAAGGAAGCACTTGCTGAATGGGGTGAATTAAGTGTGTACATTTTTATTTCAGTTGGACATTCATAGCCTCTTTGCTGCTGATGTTTGCTGAGAAATTGTCTCCTCTGAGGCACTTCAAGTTTGGTGATCGGAATCTAAGCCCCGCACTGCTCCATAATACTGGCTTTAAAAGCCTTTTCTAAAATGCATTTGTATAAAAATTTAGCATCTTAACAATCAAATACTAAATAGTATTTTTTTATTGCTGTAGACCATACACTTTAAAAGGATTACTGCATTCCTGGTGCTAGGGTAAAAAAAGAAAAAAAAAGCAGCAAGAAAATTTGAATGACAGGAGAATCACCTGTCACACACCCTCAGCATGCTCTTAGTGGTTTCTATCCTGTGAACTTTCAGGCTAAAACATACAAAATAGATGCTGTTTTCTTCTAGATCAGGATGAGATAAAGAGTTGCAGGGAATTAGGGAATGCATATGACCAGTTGTGGCAGTTCAGGACTGAATAGGAAGTAAGTTGTATTTCGGTGAGGTTTCGGCATAGTTTTAATAGTGCAAAGGTTTTCCATGAGAAAGCTGACTGAAATACAACAGTTCTGCCCTGCAGAGGGGAGTTCTCCCCTGCAGGGGGATGCATGTGATTGGACTACCGAAATGAGCTTGTGAGTACTTGAATCAGTGTTTTCAACCACTACTTTTGAAGCCCATGGTGACTGCATGTTAGCACTTGAAACAGCTCAGAGTGTAATACAGACCTGTGTCTGGGGAGCAGCTGGCACTGGGCAAATGGTACGCTTGATTCCGTGTTACATTTCAAGGACAGATGTAGCAGAGAGCAGCTACCTGCCTTCCAGTGCAGTCATGAAAGCATCTGCTTGGGTTGTCTTGTCTCTTGTGGAATTTGTCCTAGCTGCGGAACAGATGTAGCAGCAGTGTGAAGCTGTAAGGTAAATAGGCAAGTCATGATCTTTGGCAGTGAAGAATTCTTTAATTTCAAGCAAAAGTTTTGTGTAAATTGTAGCCTGAAATCTCCAGGCTCATTTATCCTAGATCTGTTTTCCTTCTGATACCTAGAAGGTCATATGCTAGATCTAGGACTCATCATGTTATGCCAACTGGTGCCTCTTGGATTCTGGGACTTTTGCAATTCTGAAGCTCTGTGCACAGCAGTGAAAAAGCGTCACGAACTGAAAGTATCCTGTCGCAATGAGTCGCAACCAAGGGTCATTGCAATCACGATGTATCTCAGTCAGAAAGCTTTTGGATATCACAAGAGAGCTTCAGCCACTGCTCTAACCTCTCCAATACCCAGGAGAGAAATGCCCCACTTCCAGGGGGAAGTGCCCCACCTTTAATCAGCCACAGGTCACGTGGCTTCCGGCTTCCCAGGGTAATTCACAGCACCTGTTTTAACGAGCCACAGGTGCTTCTCATTTAGCCCACACAGCAGCCAGAGAACTTCTCCGACAATTCCCCCTTTTTTTGTTTTTAAAGACCCGTTAGCCTTAGGGGTTACTTCATTCCGACTCCGTGTTCAATTGCCACCTGTCGAACATCCTTGAAACGGAAACCATGGGGGAATCTTTCTTTACTTTTGATTGTACCATGTCGGCGGTGGATATATCCATTGCTCTGGTGGCGATGGATACATCCATCCCGGCTGTTCTGGCTGCTTTTCCCGATGATTTACCGCCGGATTGGTCTGTGGTGCCGGATTGGTCTGCGGATCTCGCAATGCTCCCGCAAAGGGTTTGTTGGGACTGTAAGGTGCGCGTCCCCTCGTTCTTCTTTTGTTATTTCCCCGATTTGGCCGGCCATTAGCATAAACCTTTGACCTGCATTGATTAGCAATGTGACCTATTTTTCCACATTTGTAACACCTCTTCTTCTTCATATGTGAGGCAGTTAGGGCGGTGGCCAGTGCAGTCATTTTATGTTCTATAGACCCAACTTTAGCATACCCAATGACCATTTCTTCTAAAGAGGGGTCCCCCGGCAATGTTTCAATAATTCTCTGGCAATCAGGGTTGGCGTTATCCTTTGCCAGCTGTTTTGTTAACAGGGCCTGTAATCTGCTGTCCAGTACTTGTTTTTCTATCGCCCCTTGTAACCTTTCCACGAATTGCAGGAAAGGTTCTCTGACCCCTTGTTTAATTGTGGAGTACTTCGCCTTAGGCTCCACCATTTCTGCCGTGCGCGTCAATGCCTGCATCCCTATTTGCTTAACTTGCTCAAGAATCTGGGGATGCCACTGCGCTTGAGCTGCTGGGTTACTAAATACCTGACCCATTCCCATTAACACATCTGTACCTATGGCGTAGCACGGGTCATCTTGGGGCAACTGCATGTTCTGCAGTGCCCGATGATCAGCCAACTGCTTCCAAATGTTCATAAAGACGGAGTGCTGCACTGGCTGGAACATAACTTGGGCTAAATGTTGACAATCATATGGCACCAATATCTCTAAGTTTAATAATCGTAGCAATTGTGCCACTGCTGGGGAATTTGGTCCATAACGAGCCACCGCCTTCTGCATATCTTGTATTACTTTCCATGACCAGCCCAAATTTTGATTGGGCTGGT